TTTAATTAACAAGCACCCAACTATTAACTTTTTTTTTAATTTTTTTAATGTTTTTTATTTATTTTTGAGAGAGAGAGAGAAAGAGAGAGCACAAGCAGGGGAGGGGCAGAGAGAGAGGGAGACACAGAATCCAAAGACAGGCTCCATGCTCTGAGCTGTCAGCACAGAGCCCGACATGGGGCTCAAACTCACGAACCGTGAGATCATGACTTGAACCGAAGTCAGACGCTTAACTGACTGAGCCACCCAGGTGCCCCATAAGTGTTGTAAACTTTTAAGTAATCTCTATACCCAGCATGGGCTCAAACTCACAACCCCAAGATCAAGAGTCACATGTTTTACCGACAGAGCCAGCCAGGCGCCTTTCTCCTGAGTTCTTTTTCTTCTACCTTCTAGGAGATGTCCTTAACTCTAGGTTCCAACTCTTCAATTTCTCTACAGTTTTTTTCTCCTGTATATATATTTTTTACTTCCAAGAGCCTTTTCGGATTCTTTGATTATTATTCCTTTGTTTAGTGCCTCTACTACTTGCTTTATGGATGCGGAATTTTCTCTTATGCCCCCCGAGGGTATTAATTACAGACTAGGTTTTTTAAAAAATGATGTCTGTTTTCTTTGTGCTTGTTTGGTTTGGTCTGCATCCAGACTGGAGGTTTTCTTCAAAACCCCTAGAACTCTTTGGCTCTTGGTTCATGGTTGAGGGAGAGAGACAGGTGGAGTGGCCTAGAGATTCAGTGTGTATAGCAGGGCTCGTGCTGGCCCACCCTCTCTAGATGGAAGTTCTGAGCTGGCTTCTCCCTGGGGCATTCCTGTAGACCGAATGCTTGTGTCCTTTCAAAACCATATGTTGAAATCCTAACCCCCAAAGTGATGGTGTTTGGAGGTGGGGCTTTTGGGAGGTGATTAGGAGATGGGGGTAGAGTCCTCATGAGTGGGATTAGTCCCCCAAGGAAAGAGACGAGAGAGAGAGAGAGAGAGAGAGAGAGACCCCTCCTCCTTCCCACCACGTGTGGATACAGCGAAAAGATAGCCTTCAGGAACCAGGAAGTGGGCCCTCACCAAGCAGGGAATCTGGGGCCCTTTGATCTTGGACCTTCAGCCTCTAGCACTGTGAAGGACAAGTTTCTGTTGTTTATAAGCCACCAGCCTGTGGTATTTTGTCATAGCAACCCGGATGGACTAAGGCACCTCCGATGTCAGTATCTGAGGTCCTTTTTTTTTTTTTTTTTAAGTTTATTTATTTATTTTGAGAGAGAAAGGTGGGGGGTAGGGGGTAAGGGCAGAGAGAAAGGGAGAGAGAGAATCCTAAGCAGGCTCTGTAATCACGGTGAAGCTTGACTCAGGGCTTGAGCTCACGGGGCTCCAACTCACAACCTGTGAGATCCTGACCTGAGCCGAAATCAGGAGTCAGAGGCTTACCCAGCTGAGCCACCCAGGCGCCCCTCTGAGGTCTTTCTCTGGGACCTTCTCTCTTGGACCTTGCCTGGCTGTGTCGCCTGGGCAGACGGGATGCAAAAAGTTTGACTTTTCCACGTACAGATTTCCGGCCAGTCCCTGCTGTTTGCAATCCAGGATTCACCCCCAGCGACCTCCCGGTCCTGAGACTGGGTCCTGGGGTGCATCAGTAAACCCCTTGGCTGGCTTTGAGGTTGTATCTTCCCTCATTCTGCCAAGCCCTCTAATTTCCATCTTCAAAATCTGGTTGTCATTTCTCATCTGCTGTCCCTTCTCTTTGTCCTTGAGAATTCACGCTCCTCTGTTCCTTCGGTGTCTTTTAAGGGGCTTCGGAAGTGAGCAGACATCAATGTGTCAAAAGTGGTACTTTTTTTTAGCATTTTGTGACGGTAATACATCGAAGGGACAGTTGTTGAGACTCTATTGGACAACTTTAGAGGAAACAGAAACAAAATGTGAGAAGGGGATGAAGGTGTGGCTGTGTGTCCTGTCCCCCTTCCCCCTCCCTGGGCTCCCTACTCTGAGCCAAACGTGGAAACGTGCTGGGCTCTGATGTCTTTAAAATGGAAGACAGCACTGAAGGTAAGGAAAGGCGTTTTGCTGGCTCTCCCTGGACTTGACCCCCTTCACTCCTGGTGACTCCCAGTGAGTCTGAACTGGGGAGGCTGCTTCCCGAGAGAAGGAGAACGACAGGGAAAAATTCAGATGCCTGGCCCTTGACAGGAAGTTGAAGGGGAGGAGGCCTGCTCTGGGCCTCGGTGACTTCACCTGTGTTGTTATGAAAGCAGTCTGGAGAGGAATTGGGATAGAGTTACACCGGCTGCCGGACCTACTTCCCAGGACAAATCTTTCAGGAAAAGGGTTGGCCTGACACACAGCAAGGGGCCAGAGAGAAAGGAAAGCCTATGGTGTCTGCAGTTAGCAGGTGGGGGTCTGCCTCTTGGCTCTGTAAGTTTCCTGCTGTGTGACCTTGGGCACACCACTTCCCCTCTCCCAGCCTCAGCTTTCTCTTTTGTACCATGGGGATAATATTGCCCACCTCCTGCAGGTGTTGTGAGGAGGAAATGGGGCAGCTTAGCTCACTGCAGGTACTCAAACATTTCTTGTTAGTGTATTAAGTGTAATACCAGAGGCAGAAATGTCCCTGCCCTCCTATTCCTTTCCACAGCAGGTGTGAGACCAGCTTCCGGCTATGCTGACAGACTTCCCAAAGGAGCTGGGACTTGGGAAGAGACGCTTCCCCCTTTCCCTTCCTCCAGTGAGGGATGCCCAGGCCTTCCTGGTTATTCAGATCCCAGGGAGGAATGGATTTGAGTGTGCCACGGCAGCCTCACCTCCAAGCCTGGTGCCCTAGCTATCACCCAGAAAGTCTAGAGAGGCAGATGGGAGCCCCTGGGGCCAGGAATGTTTATAGCCCCTCACAGCCTCCAACCTGCCCTGAACACTCCCTCCAATCTGGGGAGCAGGTTCAGAGTCAGGCTGGGAGCCTCACGAAACCAAAGAGATCCCTTTGTCCCAAGACACGGGGCCAAGAACTGTAAATCCCAAAGTCTTTCAGGCAGAAGCATGGGACCCAGCTCCCCTCCTGCTGCCTGCTGAAGGAGGGCCTCTAAATCACCCAGGACAGACATCCTCAAGGACACGTGGGTAGCAGTGGGGGCTGAGAAAGCCTGCAATCTAGTTAGAGGGGCCCATACCACACACAGGGTCACACAGACACATGTGTATGAACATGCACACAGTTGTTCATGTTTAGTCCTCTTACACAACACCCTCTCCCACACAGGCCTGCTTCTTATGGGTGAGATCCGTGCCCCTGAAGCAGCACACGTGCACACATACAACGCATGTGCTCCTAGCTCCTATCTGCCTAAACTTAAGGCTTAAGGAAGGGTTTGGGGGCAGTGCAGTGAATTTTGTAAAAACTGGGCTGCCTAAGAGCACATTTCAGAGGCCCTTCACACTCTTGCCACCCACGGTCTTCATCAGAGAAAGGAATGGCCCAGAGAGTAGGAAAACTCACTTAGGTGTTGAGTTTATGACTCCTTTCCCAGAGGTACAGAGACGCAGCCTAGGCTGTTTTGGGGGAGAAGTCCCTTCCAAATATCAACAGCATCCCCCTGTCATGCCGTGCTATGACAGGAGCTCACAGCAGTAGCCATAATTTGAAAGATCCTGGAAGATGGTTTCAGGGTAGAGATGGGGGTGGGGCAGGTTGTCGTGTTCCCATGGCAGCCTGTCTCATTGCCATGGCAACACGTTCGCCCTCCATTCAGTGGAGTCCTCGTTTCTGTAATGGGTGGAACGCTGTGGCGCTTCTCAGGATGGTGGTGGCCCCGTAGTCCTTCTGGGAAAGAGCATTTCCATCCTAGGCCAGGCAGGGTAGGAGCCTACAGAGGCTGTCAGAAAGGGCTGGCTTTTCTTGCAGGCAGAAGGGTGTGGATTTCCTGTCAGTTTCCCTACTGACAAGCCTCTACTTCTTACTACAGAAACCAACTCCCCAGCTGTTGGGGGGCCTCCAAGAAGGTCCCCATAGGGCAGACTGACCTTTCTTGATGTCCACCAGGGCTGACTCAGTTGGAAACCCTTCCCAGCATGAAGTGGGGGCCAGGTGCTGTCTGGAGACTGATTAGGCTCACCATTCATTGGCTGCAGGCCTTCAGTGAGTTATGTATCTTTCTGAACCTCAGGGTTCTCACCTGAAAGTGGGGATACTGCATGCCCAGTGCCCTCGGTGGTTACAAGGATGCAGAAAAGTGATACAGGTAGAGAACTGGCCGCATCCAGGGCTTTCCCTGGGGGAGGGGGATGGGTGGCCCAGGCCACTCTTGCATGCAGACTTCAGTGCCTTGAGGCTGAGCGCCCCAGCAGAGGTCTGGGGGGGGGGGGGGGGGGGGGAGGGGGTTGCTGGAGTGATCTTTAAGCTTCAGTGGAAAGGGTAGTGGTTGGCATCATTTTCCAGATCAAGCTGTCCAACTGGCTGTAAACTTCCCTGGGAAAGGAGGAGATGCTTCAGCCGTCCTCCCCTGGCCTAGATCAGTGCTACTCAAAGTGTGGGCCATGGCTCATGCCCCTCTGCGAAATGTTGTCACCTGCAGGCAATGAGCTAAGTCTAGGAATTAAGAGGACAGCTGCAGCAATTTTAATAGAAATTTGATGTTGCCGAAACACTGAAGCAGCAACCAGTTCCGGTTTCTCTTTATTTTTAAAATTTTAAAAATTTTCAGCGATTCATCGCGTGTGTGTGTGTGTTTTAAGTAGTGATCTGCCCCAGACTGGGGAAAAACAATCTGGTTCTTCATATCTCTAGTTTGAAAAGCACTGAGCTTGATAAGACTAAAGTCATCTTAAAACCAGTAAAAATCCAGTTGAGGAGCGAGGGAAAACTAATCAGCGCTGCTTGCAAAAATTAGCCACAAATCGCACTCAGGATGTTTGGGCAGCATTTCCTTTATTGTTTCAGGACAGAAGCCCCAGTCCCCCTCCCACTGCCCTACCCTCCACCCCCCACCCCCAGCTCAGACGCCTAGTCTGGAGTTTGAAATTCATGCCCCCGCCCCCATCCCGCACCTGGCGCTCAGCCAAGCGCAGCGCCCCCCGCGGTCGCTTCCGGGAGGCGCGGTCTGCCGCTTCCCGTAGCGCAGGCCGAAGGAGTTCCAGTTGTAGGTGGACAGGTCCTTCTCCCGCTGAACCAGCACCGCGCCCCGCGGGGCGGGGATCAGGCGGCTGCGGGGGGCGCACAGGCCTGGCCGCTGGGGCCCCGCGGCACTCTCGGGAGGAGGGCACAGCGAGGCCCCTCGCGCGTTGGGCTGGGCCCCGGCGGGCTCTCTCTCCGCGCATCGCGGGCTCTGCTCCCACGGGGCCAGGAGGGCCTGGGATTCGAGCCGCTGGCCTAGGGCAGAACCACAGGGAGAGGTTGAGGTGAGGCCAGGAGAGAAGGCTTTGGAACACCTGCTCCCACCCCTAGCCTGTGCTTCCCTCTCGTAGTTCCTGGTCCCTTTCATTCCTGGACCTCTAGGAAGCCCAGAGCCCAATGCAGACCATCTTAGCCCCCCAGGGGGTTAGGTCACTGGCTCCTCTTTCAACATAGCTTTGGTTTCAAATGGTTTCGGGAATGATCTTAAATGTCTTTTGTATTAAATCACTTCCTTTTCGGAAGCAAACAGGGTAGAGCTTGGAAATAAGCCTGCAGTATTTGTTGGACACTCAAGTTGGGCATTTCTTGGCTCACTGCCTGGCCCTCTGTCTTGTCTCTGTCTCAGGCTCCCCCACTGGACTGAGCTCCTTGGGGTGGGTGGGAGCTGTGTTCATTCAGTTCTCTGAGTGCTTGAAACAGTGATCTGCGTCTGCACGTAGTAGGGCTTCAAATGCTTGTTCAATATATAAGAGCAAATGAAAAGTCTGTAGTTAACAAAAACAAGGGTAGAGCTAGGACCACTGTGCCCCACACCTCTCCCCCAGTTAATGTGACCCCCTAATAAGCTGCATAAGGGCTCAGTGAAGAATGAGAAATTATCTGGGTCACCTTCACCTGCTCACCCCTGCCTCCCCAGATATAATCTCTTCCCTTCACACTGAGGGCTAACAAGGCTAATTAGGAAGGCACTTCACATGCAAGGCTTGTTAAATTCACTGTAATTTTTGGCAGTAAAATAGTGCAACTAGCTCTGAGTAGACAGGAACCCCAGCCAATTGTGGCACGAGATTAGTGGAAATGAGGCCTGGTGTGTGAGTGGGTGTGTTGGGGGGGTAGTTGGCTTTGAGCCCTGCTCCTCAATGCCTTGGCATACTTTGGAGGAGAGGAGTGTGGGCGTGGTTCAGAGTTAATGCTAATCTTCCTAGAAGGCCCCTCCCGCCTTGCTTAGGGCCTGGCTGAGGCAGGGAGGGATGATGGCTTTCTTCCCAGTGACACCCATCATCCCTGCAGTAGGATTACTGCTCAGGCTACTGTGTGTGGCCTCACTTAGAGCCACTTGCCAAAAAGAGTCAACAGGTCAATGTCCCTGGGGGAAAGAGGTGAGGTTATTCTCTGGGGGAGCCTCCCTCACCCAGAAAGAACACGTGGATCCCAGGAGAGAAGACACTGTTGGCCAAGGGCACCCGGGCCATCTTCTCTTTGCTCTGGGATATCTTATGGGTGCAGTGATATCACACGTGTACAGGGGACGCTCCAAGTTCCATGGCTAGAGAACTACTGCAGGCCGGAGAGGACAAGCCGCATCTCATGTGCCCAGGAAACTGGCCACCAAGCAGTGTTAAACCCCCAACTCCTGTTCCGGGGACTAGCTCGTGCCGCTCAGAGGCACGCTCTTGGCAGTTCCTGCACCTGCAGGGCTGTTGCAGCATTTGATTGACTTCCGGGGTTTTCTTTGCCTCTTTGGGCCTCCGTTTCTCCAGCTAATCATTTGCACAGTGAACTCATAAGGTTGACAGATATTAACAACCTGTCCTTTTGCTTAGGTCTTTTTTTTCCCCCCCAATTCCCCATACAGGGTCTGAGATCACTGATCAGAAAAGCTTGCATAGTACATTCCTTCCCAATGGATCTGCTCAGACAGGTGGTTGGCATAGAGCAGAGAACACACGTGAGGAGGAGCTCAGTGGTTGACCGGGGTCAGCCTCGGATGCCCATAACAGCAGTAAGACATCCCTTGCTTGCAAGATTGATGCAGCCCCTAAATGAATGGCATGTGCTAGTCTTAGGTTCTCATTAGAGGCAGCGTTTAAGTCACATTGATAGACTAGCTTTAATCTGAGAACCATGGTAACTCTTATTTTACGACAACTCCTGTGCACCCCCCACCCCGTCCCCGCCCTGCCCCGCCCTTCTTCCCATACCACGCATACCTGTAGATAGAGGATTCTCCACGGGTGCCACCTTTTCAAATGTCTCCCTGAAGGAGGTGGCACAGAGGAAAAGCATCAGCTGCCAAGAAACCAGCGAGTTCATCCTGGTGAGAAGACAGGACCTGACAGTGCCCTGAGGCTGAGATAGAAGGAAGGAGGGGAGACTAGGTCAGGCACAGGGCATGGGCAGGGTGCTGCCCAGTGTGAAGAGGAAAGCCCTGGAG